ATGCAAGAAGACCTGAATAAATGGAAAGAAATTCATGTTCCTGGATGAGAAGACTGAATATTACAAACATATTTCTTCCCAATATAATCTCTGGATTATAATTCTACTCCAAATCCCAAAGGGAATTGTAATGAAATTTGATTTTAAAAGAATATGCCAGAATAGTTAAAAACAGTTATGGAAAAGAATAGTTGGGGATAAGGTGAACTTGTTGCCCCATATGTTGCCCCATATTGAATAAAATGAAAATAATTGGTTGTACAACATGATTAATGTAATTGATATCACTAAGCTATACACCTGAAAAAGGTTGAACTGACAAATGTTGTGTTACATATATATGTATTACAGCAACAACAAAAAGCAGCTGCTCATACTGCTTATATATAATCGAACACTTCATGGGATTTGTTTTCTTGGTTCAGAGGTTTAGGATCATGGTTTCATGGGACATCCTAGTCAATTGGCCTAATATTGTTTTTAGTGTTTCTGTTCTACCTCCTAGTTCATTGTGTAGTGCTTGGGGTTTCAAAAGCTGTGAGTGGCCATGTAAGGTACAATAGTTGATCACTAGTCTCCTGGAGCAGCAGAGGAAGGAGAGTCAGGAATCAGAGAAGGATGTCCAATTGCCTCCATGAGCAACTGCCTCCCTTGCCATGAGACCTGAACTAGACAGTGCCTGGGTACGGTTACTGAACATTTTGATCAAAAGTTTTATAGAGGAATCCTAATCAAAAAGCGGGAAAATGTGGACAGAATTTCAAATTCTCATGGAATCCAGACTTTCTGGAGCCATTAAGGCTGGATGACCCCTGCCACCACCCACAAAAATATTATCCTGAGGAAATCTTTAAACCTTAAACTGAAACTATCCCCCGAAGTCATTTTTAAACCAAACAGTAGTTTAGCTTAATTAGTAAAGTGCATTTGCCTTGAGTATTATGCTCTTTTAAGGAATTTTCTATATATGATCAGTTGACAACAGTGACTTGAAAGGTTAGATGAGAAGCTTAGGGGGCAGTGAGTTTATGTTAATGGTGGTGAAATACTGTGGAAAAGAATATCGAGAAAGGTGGCACAAATTGAAGAATGTAACCAACGTCACTGAATTGTACATGTAGAAATTGTTGAATTGGTGTATGTTTTGTTGTATATATTTTCACCAAAAATTTTTTTAAAAGGAAAAAAAAGAAGAAAGAAAATAATTAAAAGTGGGAGACTGGCATAGAAATAGGCAATAGACCAATAGAACAAAGATATCTAGAAAGTAGTGGTATATTAAATCTTAAATCAGTAGGGGAGAGGCTAGACTGTTAATAAGTATGAGGAAAACAGGTTATCCATCCAGAAAATAATAAAACTGAATCCTTATGTCATATATAAACATTAAAAAAAAAAAAATCCTAAAACTATTAAAAAAAAAAGAAAGGTTACTTTTGTGATCTTAGACTGGGAAAAATGAGAAGCTATGAAGGAAAAGATTGACAGATTTGACCACATAAAAATAAAAATTTCTGAATAGGAAAAAAACCCCATAAGCAAAGTTTAAAGGTCAGCTGACACTGGGGAAAACTGATAACACATGGCAACAAATAAGGTTAAATCCTTAACAAACAAAGAGCAGCAACAAATCAATAAGAAAAAGACAAGCACACAGTATAGGGAGAGCAATTAGGGTCACGTAACAATGTATGTATAAATTTTTGTATGAGAGACTAACTTGAATTGTAAACTTTCACTTAAAGTACAACAATAAAATTTAAAAAAAGTTCCTGGAGAAGAGTGAGGAGGAAATTAGTATTTCTGAGCTCCCACTAAGTGCCAGGCTGGTCTAAGTTCTTTAAATACATTTTTCCTGTTGTAAATACTGGTTATTGTTAACAGTTATATTTCCTAAAACACTTAGTCCAATACCTAGTATAATAATAGATGCCTGTTAACTCTGTGGAGTCCCTCTGTGCACAAATCGTTAAATGCTCATCTACTGACCAACAAGTTTGTGGCACCAAGCTAACCAGAGGCACCTCGGAAGGAAGGTCTGGTGATCTACTTCCAAAATGTCGCAGCCACTGAAAACCTTATGAAGCGCAGTTCAACTCTGAAACGTAGGGTCTCCACAAGTCAGAATCAACTTGATGGCAACTGGTTGCTTGGTTGGTTAACTATATCACTGAACGGTCATCAGAGTATTTCTTTCTTAAATAAATTTTGATCTAAGTTAAAAAAAAAAAAGAAAAGACAAGCAGCCAGTGGAAGATTGGGCCCGGTTATGAGTAGACATCTCACAGAAGAAGTACAAATGGCTAATAAAGATGTTCGACTGCACTAGTAATCGGAGAAATACAGCTTAAAACTATTAGGTACTATTTTTTACCAATCAAATTGGCAAGAATTAGACTAATTATACCCAGGGTGGTGGGACCGTAAATTGATCTAACATTTTAGATGGGTAAATGTTAGGGCCCAGCCCCATTGTAAATGTGCATGTCCTTCAACTCAGCAGTTCTTCTAAGCACTTATCCTATAGAAATAGCCACACAGGAATGTATGGATGTCCATTACAATGATGTGTAATATCAAGAAAATGGATACAATATAAATGTTTAACAAGAGGGGAATGGTTAAAGCATGGTGCATTCATATTTTAGAATATGATTTCAGTGTTTAAAAGGACACAGTAGATCTATATGTAATGATATGGAAATATACGCTTGACATGCTGTTGTTGAGTTAAGAAAAGGCAAGTTTCAGAATAATGAGTATAGCACGATCCCATTTTACTTTTCTATAAAAAGTATGTGTCCGAGTGAACAGGAAGGGTTGGGAGGGTATGCTCCAAGCTGTTGACAGTGGAGTATAGGGGAGCAGGAGGTTTTTATACTTGATGCATACTTTATCGTTGCTTGAAATTTTACAATCAGCAAATGTGGTTTTCAGACTTCTTTTTTTTTTTTTTTTTTTTAAGAGTATCTTGGCCTATAGGGTCGCTATGAGTTGAAATCAACTCGACACCAATGGGTTTGGTTTTTTGTTTTTGTTTTGGCTGGCCTAAGAAAGGGCCTAGGTTCCAGCCATGGCTCCATTGCTTAGCTAAAAAATTGTAGTGAGGGGCTTAACCCCTCTTGGCCTTAGCCACCTTCTCTGTTTATGAGTGAATGAATGCATGGATGCTTTTCTGTTTTTCAGTAGTTTGGGGTACGGCTACTTTTATCATCAAGAAAAAGAATAAGCCTCTTCGTTGCCTTTTTAATGAGTTAACTGGACTAGATCTCTAAGGACCCTTCAAGCTCTAGCATCTGTCTAAGATTGATCTCAAATGTACTTTGATTTTAAAATTAAAAAAAAAAAAGCTTGGCATTGATGTTGTAGTTCTTAATACTGAAGTGTGTGAGAATGCCTTTGGTCACTGCTGAGAGGGAATTGTGCAAATTGGTAGGCTCACTGCTCATTCCTTTCTGGAAACCTTTACTCTTGGTGCTCTGACTCGCCCGCCTCTCGGGAGGAAGAGCAAACCCCACAGGACTGAGGTCTCTCCCCGGCTGGCTAGCAGGGCTGCTGGGCTTTGCTTTGGGCCCCAGAGAAGAAAGGCTATTTTTGTTGTGGGTGCTGCTGAATGGTTGGCTTCTCTCCAGGAGCATGTGCTTGTTGGTGTGGTTGATGGATCTTGCCTCCTGCTGCCCTCCTACCCCTGCTTCCAGCCCCAAGAGCTTAGACCTGAGAGCAGTGTACTGACGTCTGTGCTCTTTTCTCATGCCCTACTCCCTTCTGACGTTGGAAGGGCAACAGCAGACAAAAATATAGCCTACATGCTGGAGGAACCTTGGAAAGCATGGCCCCTGGATTCTCTATCAGCCCAGAACTAAAACAGTTTCCGAGGCCAACTCTTCAGACAGGGTTTGGACTGGACTGTGGGACATAAAGTGATACTTGTGAGGAGTGTGCCTCTTAGCTCAAGTAGGTACAAGAGACCAAAGGGGCGGCTTCTGTCCAGAGGTGAGATGGGAAGGTAGAGAGGGTTAGGAGCTGGTTGAATGGTTATGGAGAATCAGGGGTGGAAAGGAGGAGTGTGCTGTCACAGAATGGGGTGAGCAATTAGGGTCACATAACAATGTATGTATAAAATTTTGTATGGGAGACTAACTTGAAATGTAAACTTCCTTTAAAGTACAACAACAACAACAAAAAAAAAGAATATAGCCTACATGAAGTTGGAGACTTTTCTCCTAAGGCTTTACTTGAAAGTCGCCCCTGCCTCCTTAACTGCAGTGGCAGAGAACTCAGTCTAAGTATCTGGGCTTTCTTCACCTTAATTAGGCTAATAGAGCTGCCTTTTCCTCCACCAGCCTTAGGGTGTTTACTCTGTGCTGCAGTTCATCTCACTTACCGTCCAAATCACCTTTTATTAGCCCAGCCTGGGAATAATGTCCTTCTTGGTGTAGGGCTTGACATGAGCCTGGCATGCACCCAGATCCATATCTGGCCTTGCCAGGATCCTCAGGCAAACCCGATATCCTATGTCAGCTGCTGGCAAGAAGGCTGTGGGAGCAGGTGGCCCAGTCCATCAGCCCTTAGCATGTGCAAAGGGGCCGCTCAATTGTGTTGCACAACTCTGGGATGGGGGACACTCACACTGGGCACCAGGGGGTGCCACTGATATAGGCAGCAGTGTATGTAGTATCGTCTGGAGTTGTGGGGCCCTGGCCCCAAGTCTGGTGCCACCTGAGACCTACACACGGACTGTGAACTGTATGGCATCAAGTTGTTGCCATGCAAAGCTCTTACTGAGTGCTTCTTGGGGATTGGGCCACAAGGACACAGCCTTTGCCTTCTGGAGCCTCCAATAAGCAGCTGGTACAGGGCAGTTCAAGGTAAACTTCTCGACACGTCATCACAGACATGTGATTTGACTGTGGTTTTCCCAGCTACCTTGATTTCAGAACTTCTGTAGCCCTCCTATTCATCCATTTCTAATTTGTGGTGCTTTTTTTTTTTTTTTCCAGCTGCAGAGCTACTTTGCTGCCTGTGAGGATGAGACCCCAGCCATCCGGAACCACGATAAGGTTCTGCAGCGTCTATGTGAGCACTTGGACCACGCCCTGCTCTATGGGTAAGGTGGAGATAGTTTCTAGAGAGGATGGTAGGGCACAATAGAGTGGCCGCCAGAGATAAATCCCTAGCCTTGTCCACCTTTTATTTCATCTTTCCATTGGCAGAAAGGGATTTGTCTCACTCAAATGGACCGCAGGCTCTCTGTAGGTATACCAGTAAATAGTCTCTGGGCAGGTATAAATGATTGGGAAGAGAATCAGTAACAAATGAAAGTGTGGTCTGAAGGTATGGTGGTTGCCTGTGGGATCTGGAAGTACCTTGGACCAATGTCCTGCACCTTCCTGCTGTGGCCCCCTTTGGGTCATAGCAGCTCCTGTCCTATTTTCTCAGACTGCAAGACCTCTCATCTGGCTACTGGGTGCTTGTGGTGCATTTCACCCGGAGGGAGGCCATCAAACAGATCGAGGTGCTGCAGCATGTGGCCACCAACCTGGGGCGCAGTGAGTAGCTGCAGGGGGTCGCTGGGGATGGGAGCAGCTCTGGGCTTGGGTTTGGTGTCAGGGTCAGCCCTGGGAGCCTGATAGCCTGTAGTGTCCAGTGGCATTGGGGTGTCAAAATGCCAGCACCCTCTTCTCCCTGTATATGAGAGCTTGGTGCATTAGTGATGGGGTAGAGGGGAGCCAGAGATGGTAAAGAGAGCTGGACTCTATCGAATTCCAGCCCGAGCACATGATGAAGCCTCCCATTTCTCCCTGAGCTGGGATGAATGCCACCCTGCAGGATCTGTGAGGACTCCTTGTACTTCTCAACCCGTCTGAAGTTTTCAATCTGCCCTCTTTATCAGAATTTCCTGGCCAACTGCAGGCTGGGGTCTGGCTGAGAAAATAAAGATTCAGGGGTTGTGGTACTTCACCAAGTGAGAAGGCTGCTGGAGTCCTTGGTCCCCTCGCCCTCTCTTTTTTTCCTTTTTGCCCTTGCTTGGCAAAAAAGCCAGCACCCTGATGACCTTCCTTCTGGTTACTCTGCCCTTTGTTTGCAGGCCGGGCCTGGCTGTACCTGGCCCTCAATGAGAACTCACTGGAGAGCTACCTGCGGCTATTCCAGGAGAACCTGGGCCTGCTGCATAAGTACTATGTCAGGTGAGTGCCCAGAACAGGCTGTCTTACGTAGCTTAGAGCTCCCTTAGAGTCTCATCCCAGAGACTTGTTGCATGCATATCTCACAGTGTGTCCCATCAGTGGCCCAGACTGGGCTTGCATGCTGAGGACATGTCAGCAATGGCCAAAAACCTATTGAAACCTTACCAACCAGTATGACACCTTTTGCCGGAAGTACTGATGTTTCCCCTAGGCTCTGTGTAGCAGTTGGTGCTCTCTCTGTGCAGTCCTCTAACCAGGCCTCAGACCAGTCTAGAATGCACACATCCCCTTTGGCACAGACTTTCCTGGGGTTGCTGTAGGAGCAGAGTATTTATAGCAGCCACTGTGAGCCTGGTGAGCCTTATGCTACAGGCTCCATGTCTGAACACACTGACATGCAGCTCTGCACCCAGTGGGAGAATACCGGAAGGGGGTGGGTAAAGACTGTATGGGGCTGGGTGCAGTCCAGGACTGGGGGTATCACGTGTCAAATTTCAACATGCTGAGGTTGGACCAAGCTGGTAACCAGACCCAGAACTGCCATCGTCCCTCCTCGTGTCTCGCAGGAATGCCCTGGTTTGCAGCCATGATCACCTGACTCTCTTCCTGACCTTGGTGTCTGGGCTGGAGTTCATTCGGTTCGACCTGGATCTGGTGAGACACCACAGCTGCTGCTTGTGAGAGGAGGAGGAGAGGGCAGTGTGGGTGGGCAGACTCATTTTTTAAGTTCCTCTCGAGGAGCCTCTTGAGTATAACTGAGCAGGAGCAAGGCCCTGTTTGCCCTGGTCGGGGAACGGTTTCAGGGTCTGAACAGTAGAAGTGAATGAAGGATGGTGATTCTCTTTGGCTTATTTTTGGCCAGAATTCCTGGCTCCAGGTGGCTTCTTTCTGTTTCTTTATCCCAACTGGGAGAAAAGCCACATTGCCTGGAGCATTTGAGCACTGAAGTATTCACCTTCATGTTGAGTGTTAGAGGGGACAAGGTGTTCATTCCTGTGCTTACTGGGATTCTGGCAGGTATTATTGGCTCCGTACTTCCCAGTTGACATGCTCTCGGCCACCATCTTCAGACTGTCAGGTCCCTCACCACCATGCACTGTAGAATGTGACTTTGGCCCAGAAAGAGCTAAAGAGGCTCCATAGGCCTCTCAGACTCAAGCTCGTCAAGACAGATGCAGCTGCCCCAGCCTAATAAATCAACTCCTTGGTCCCTACCCCAACAACATAGACTAAAGAAGAAATTTGGCTAGTGGTAACTAAAGAAAATGAGTGACTCTAATAATAAAAGATTGAGGAGGTGTCAGAGGGCATAGCTTATAGTTGGGTTCTGATAGTTCTAGCATCTCTATCAGCCTGAAGACCACAACTTTAAAAGCCAGAGCCATTCAAATTACTCTTTTTAGCAGCTTATTTCAGAATTTCCTACCTTAAGCTCATTGATATCCCAAAGAGAAAATAGCACAGGAGGTATGACCCGGGCATCCGTGGCTCCCAATCATGGAGTCTGCTGTCTGCGGAAGACCACCTGGGGCCTCCCACCAGTATCCCTTTCCCACTCTTTCCTCAGGATGCCCCTTACTTGGACCTGGCCCCCTACATGCCTGACTACTATAAACCTCAGTACCTGCTGGACTTTGAAGACTGCCTTCCTAGCTCAGTCCATGGGTCGGACAGCCTGTCCATCAACTCCTTCAACTCCATCACATCCACCAACCTGGAGTGGGACGACAGTGCGATTGCCCCATCTAGTGAGGGTAAGTGGGCCCAGGGGCAGAGAGGAGCCGGGCCTCTGCTGTGAAGCTGATTCTGGAGCTGCCTGGTTTGGTCAGGTGATGGCTTTCTTTGCTTGTTTTGGTTTGATGGTTGAAACTTTAAATTAAACAGGGGTGGCCATTTCCCTGGTCTTCATTCCCTCAGAGTCCTTGTGGTGGCTAAAAAACTGATTCTGGGGACAAATAGCCAAAATGATATTTTATGGATGTTAAACCCTTTTCCAGGGCAGTGGTGGTTCAGAAGTAGAATTCTTGCCTTTCGAGTGGGAGACCCAGCTTCAATTCCTGGACAGTGCACTTCATGTGCACCCACCACCTATCTGTCGGTGGAGGCTTGCGTGTTGCTATGATACTGACTGGACTTCAGTGGAGTTTCCAGACTAAGACAACTCAGAAGGAAGGCCTGACTATCTGTTTCTGAAAATCAGCCAGTGAAAACCCTATGGAGCATAATAGTCTGGTCCTGTTGTGCATGGGGCAGCCATGAGTCAGAGGGCTGACTGGATGGCAGCTACCAACAACAGAGCCTTTTCCAGAAGGTTGTGGTCATATACCCAGGGGCAGTTTTCTGAGCAAGAAGCGATTGGCAATGTGTAGGGATGAGTGTTGCCTGCTTTGGGGAGGTTGTCCTACCCTAGATTCTAGGCAGAAAGAGGCTAAGCAACCCCGAGAAGGAGAAGACAGAGCCAGGCAGGTCAAAAGTTTAGGGAAAAACTTGCCACAATTTCTCATCTGTCTGTCCAATTTCTCAGTCCCTTCTACACCTGTTAACGTGTTAGAGGTGATGGCACCTGAAAAAGAATGTTATCAAGTCTATAGCTCATTGTGTTGGGTTGACCAAACCACTTATTGGAACAAGCTGGTTTCTTTCAAACCTTAGGCCTCGTGTTCATTTATAAAACTGGCTGCTTCCTCACCTTCATCCCACATGGGAAAGCAGACCTCATCATCTACTTCACCTAGCCTCACCTCCGGGTTCAGCCCCCAGAGCTCCCTAGA